CCCCCCCCCCGCCCCTCTTTTTCGGTGGGTTGGTGCTAACCGGCAGTAGATGACTAGGACTTCCAGGGAAGTACGGGAATCCTCAGAGGGTAAGTTTGCAAAAGATTCGATGATTAAGTAGTTTGAGCGAAGTATGGATTAAAGTAGTTTGCAGAATTATCCTTCGGCCTTAAATGTCAAATAAGAGAGGCCTCTGCTTCCCGTTGCGCCTTTGGCTCCACTCTGGCGATAGATAAAGTATGGATTAAAGTAGTTTGAGCAAAGTGTTGATGAAAGTAGTTCGCAAATTGTTGATGAGCAAAAAAAAATAAAATAAAAAATTGTTGATAAAGTTTGGTAGGGATGTGGAATGACCAGGTCGCAAGGGGTGCTGCTGGATTTTGGGGGGTATTTCTGTAATTACTGTATTACCATTGTGGTTAAAATTTTATGAATGCGCAAGAGGAAGCGGATCTTGAACTTCGCGCGTTTTTTTTTTTTTTTTTTTTGTTGTTTGTGGACTGTGGTCCTGGTGTACGATTCATAGAGTGTGATTGTGATGGTGAGATGATTGTGATCTTCTTCAACTATATATTTCTTTTTTTGTATTTTTGAAGCATCTAGTAAACTGTGCATGCAGTGTATTTCTGAGTGTGATTGTGTCGTTCCCATCCTCCCTGTTTCCCTGACTTCTCTCTTCTTTACTCGATGTTATGTCGCAACTCGATCTCGATGGCTGAAACTGCATGCACGTTTTTTTTCTTTTTTTTTCCTTTAATTATTGTCTGGTACATGCATGGTTCTTGAACTTGATCTCGATCTCGATGGCTGTAGAGTATCACTTACGTATATTTGCATTCGTGTGTTTTGTGCTCTTCCCTCACCAACCTGTACGAGGAGGGGACTGTGGATGGGGTGATTTGAAAAACGTTTTTTTTTTTTTTTTTTTTTTCTTTTTCAATGTTGTTTGCTTTTTTTTTTCGTTTTGATGTTGGTCGTGTTTTCAGGTTTCCTCAGGTAAGAATCGCCCGCCGTAAGGAGAGGAGAAACATTCTGATGTTTGTTTGATGATGTTTGTGTTTTCAGGTTTCCTCAGATGAGAAACGTTTTTTCCATTTCTGTTAAGGATAATAAAGAAAGAAAAACGTGTTTCCATTCCGTTGACTTGCCGCTTCTGGGAGTCGCGCAGTCTTTTCGACATTCGTCCTACCCGAGCCTTGATCTTTTGATCTTCTGCTGACAACGAGAGAGGAAGAAGTTGATGTTGCGGTGGTCAGAATCAGAGAATCAGAATTCATTCAGCTGACGGGGGAGGTGGGTATCTGATAAGGATAGAATTGTTGTGAGGGGGCATTGATTGGATATTAAAAAGCGCGCGCGTTCGTGTGTGAAACCGACCGACCACAGGGGAGAAAGCTGCGCGAGAGCGCGCACACGTGTCCTGTCGAGTTTAGCTTAAGAGAAGAGAGGGAGGGAGGGAGGGGGGGAGGGGGGGAGGGGGGGTCGTATCAAGAACGAACTCGTGAGGGGAGAGGGAGAGGGGGAGAGAGGGGGAGGTAGTTTGGCAAAAAGGGAAAAGAAGTGGCATTTGCATAGAGCGAGTAAAAGCGATGCCGTACGTTCCTCCCCACCTGAGAGGTGGGAACGCGACAAAGCCGAGTGATTCCCCTCCGGGACCTCCTCCTCCTTCGACTTATCGCAGCTCCTCGTTTGGTGGCAGCAGCAGTAGCTACGGTGGAGGGGGAAGGGATTACGGGGGAGGAGGGGGAAGGGATTACGGGGGGGGAGGGGGGCGAAGTCGCGACTATGGGGGCAGCTTCGGTGGAGGGTCGTTCTCGCGGTCGGCATCATTTAGTCCCGCTGACCGGGGGGTGGGGTATGGTATGGGCCCCAGCAGGGGGGGAGGGGCGGCGGGGTATGGTCGCGATCGCGATCAGGGACGGGAGTACAGCCGAGATAATGGGTCGAGCACGCGGGATCGAGAAAGGGACTTGGGAGGAGGAGGAGGAGGGGGAGGAGGGAGCGAAGAAGATGGCGTAGCAATGCGTGGGAGAGCAGGTGGAGGTGTAGGAGGAGGAGGAGGGGTTAGGCGCGGGCCTCCGGAGCCGGTGTGGCCGGAGTGGGAGCCATCTGAGCGAGTGAGAAAGCTGCCAGAGGACCAGATTGCAGAGGTCAGGCAGAGACTGAATGTCAGTGTAGATGTGGCAGAGGGCTCACCCCCTCCTCCTTCACCGATCGAGTCGTTCGAAGACATGTGCCTTGCCACGGCGATCATGAAAGACATAGCGTTCCACGAATACAGATCCCCGACGCCAATTCAGGCGCAAGCGATGCCCGTGGCGCTGTCAGGGCGCGATTTGCTGGGATGTGCAGAGACGGGAAGCGGGAAGACGGCGGCATTCGCGCTGCCTATGATTCAGCACTGTCTCGCGCAGAGTCCCATCGTACGCGGAGACGGTCCCATCGGTCTGGTTCTGGCCCCAACCCGAGAGCTGGCCCAGCAAATCCACAAGGAGGTGCGAGCCTTCAGCCGCTCGGCAGATAACTTCCGCTCTGCTATTGTGGTTGGAGGCGTGAGTATGTCGGTGCAGAAGGACGAACTTCGGGCCGGCGTGCAGATCGTGGTTGCCACGCCAGGTAGACTGATTGATCATCTGGAGCAGTGCCACACATCGCTCTACAGAGTATCTTATGTGGTCCTTGATGAGGCGGATCGAATGCTGGACATGGGATTTGAGCCCCAGATCAGGGCCGTGTTGAAAGGACTGAACAAGAGGCACCAGACCCTGCTGTTCAGCGCGACGATGCCGGAAGAGATTGAGGCTCTCGCGCAAGAGTACCTCGACAAGCCTGTCAGAGTGAAAGTCGGAACCGTGAGCTGCCCGACTGCCAACGTGGCGCAGTACCTAGAGAAGGTCCCTGACAAGGACAAGGTCGACAGACTGTTAGAGATTGTGGTGGAGGAGGCGGCGACAGCTGAGAAGGCTGGGCTGACGCCGCCGCTGACCATTGTGTTCACAGACAGGAAGACTCGATGCGATGACGTGGCGGAAGCGCTGGTGTCTCAGGGGTTGAAGGCGGCAGCACTGCATGGAGGGAGGTCTCAGGGAGAGAGGGAGGGGGCACTGCGGGACTTCCGCCGGGGAGAGATCAACGTCTTGGTCGCGACGGACGTGGCGTCACGTGGGCTTGATGTCTCTGGCGTTGCCCACGTGATCAACCTTGATCTTCCCAAAACTTTCGAAGATTACGTTCACCGCATTGGTCGAACGGGAAGGGCAGGGAGCATGGGCCGTGCTACCTCCCTCTACGTGGAGAGGGACATGTACCTCGTCGCGCAGATTCGACATGCCATTACGCAGATCGAGGCGGGAAACACGACAGTGTTTGCGACGGGGAAGGCGGCGAGGAGGAGAGAGAGAGAGCAGGCAGCCGCGTTCAGGGAAGGCAGACTGGCAGATGCACCTGAAGCACCCGCAGTCGGAGGCGCGCCCGTGAAAGTTGATGAGAAGTATCAGCACATGTTGTCTTCAGCGCCAGCCAAAGGAGTGGCTGATGAAGCATGGGACGACTAGAGTGGATGATGGGTACACACACCACAGTCGCTCTCGGCTACTGGCTTGCTGTCATTAGGCAGGCAGGCAGGCTGGCAGGGATTCGTATGTTGCGAAGCACAGCAGAGGTGATGGCGATTTACAGATTGTCGTTTGTTGCTTTGTGAGATGGTGGGCGAAAACTTGCGGCTGCCGATCATGAAGTAGTTGTCGTTTGTTCTGTACCAGGCTTAACTTTGGAAGATTAGAGAATGGAGGAGAGATGGGGTGTGGCAGTAGAGGGGAGGGTAGAGGTTTTGTTTACCTCACAGATACAGAAGGGCATAGGGGACATAAACAGGGGGATGAACTCCTTGAAAGAAGGGTGGAAATGTTGAATGAGGAAGAGGAAGGGCGGGGGGGGGAGGGGGGAGGGGGAAGGGGAGGGGGACGGAGAAAAGGGGGATGAGCATGCCATGCAATGCACTGTTGTGAGGCATGTTTCTGGTCAGCGGTGGAGTGTGTGGTTGGTTAATAATGAGTGTCTACCCGATCTGAACTTTTCGGCAGGGCAGAGGGCAGGGACAGTGAGAGGGGGCCAGAGGGGGGAGGGGAGGGAGGGGAGGGGAGGGAAGGGGAGACCGTCTTTGCTGAAATCACAACTGTGGGGGCGGAAAACAGAAGTCAGTTTATTCAACGAGTTTCATTAGAAACGATGCAAGGAACGACAGGAGAAAGGGACGGGATCACATGATTGGGAGCCCGACCCAGTTTCCTTGGGATTGGTTCTATTTGCTTGCTTGAGTCATGGTTGAAGGAGCGAAGTGGGTGCTTGGGGGGGGGGAGGAGAGGAAAATAAGAGACACAGATGAGGCAGTGAAGTGTTGCGGACTGGCTTTTGTTTGCCAGTTCATGTTCACTTCGCATTGCTAGCATGTGGACCTGACCTGTGTTCTTAATTACGATTTGTTAATCAGGAGGGGGGGGGAGAGGACGATTTTGAGCCAACAATGTGTTTGATTCATTTTCTTGCGATTGAACTTGTGTGCGAGAGAGAGAGAGAGAGAGAGAGAGAGAGAGAGAGAGAGAGAGAGGACGGATGCAGGGGTAGTTTGGGTAGATGAATAGACTGATGAACAGATGCGTAGATGAATAGATAAATAACTCAAATAGGGTGATAGGGAGATGGAGACATCGATAAGTAGATAAATCTGTGTGTGTGTGTGTGTGTGTGGAGAGAGAGTGAGAGAGAGAGAGGAGTGATAAGTAACGTGTGTGTGTGTGTGTGAGAGAGAGGAGTCGATAAGTAGACACCGTGTGTGTGTGTGTGTGTGTGTGTGTGTGTGTGTGTGAGAGAGAGAGAGAGAGAGAAGAGTCTGGACTACAAGCCTTGATGGGCAGATGATTTCTCCAAATGCTAATCTTTCAGGTGCAGATGAATGTTTTGTAGAGCTAATAACATGCTGCGGCGATGTTGATACCTTAATGGAAAACTTCTGTTCTTGTTCCTGATAAAGGTCAGTGGACCAGAATAAGTAACCAAAGCGTTTGCATTTGGAACAGGGGGTGTATTTGTTCGTTCCCAAACACAGGAGCCTCTGTTTTTGAAATCCCCTCTGTATATGGAGTTTGACGAGGCATTGGTCGGTCGCCTTCCTCAGGTTTCTTCAAAGATCTTGCTACCTATCTCTACTTGTCTGACTGGGTGCATGAGCCCACCAGCCGTCAACTAGTGGTCCCACCTTTTTACAATGGTTGGAAACGGATAAGTGCAAGGCCATGCTCACTTTAGGGCTTTTCTGCCTGAATCTGGCTGTACATTATGGTCCTATACACACATGACGAGATGCGAGTTTCCACGTTTCTCCGTTCGCATGACTGCCAAACCGTGTTGTGATCTGTACTCACAATTCTCATTAGGTGTGTTTGTTTTCTGCTCTGTGACCAGTTGGAGACGACTACCGTTTGATCTGAAAGACAGTAGGGTTTAGCAGCAACTGACCCTAGAGTTTGCCGCCCCTGTGTGGAGATTTCTCCTCAACGTGGCTCCCGTCTTCTCTGTATAATCAACCATCTTCGCCTGGCTTCAAACCCTAGGTAGTTGGTCCGGACGTCCGAACGGGTGGGCGTCCCGGTGCGCCCCTCAAACGTCCAGGATCACTATTGTTGATCTGAAAGACGGTAGGGTTTAGCAGCAACTGACCCCTCGAGTTTGCCGCCCGTGTGGAGATTTCTCCTCAACGTGTCTCCCGTCTACTCTGTATGAACAAGCATCTCCGCCTGGCTGCAAACCTTACGGTAGTTGGCCCGGACGTCCGAATGGGCGGATGTCCCGGTGCCCCTCGTATGTCCAGGCTGTTTGGATTCCCCAAGTGTTTGACTGGGGCGAAATGATCGGGCCCAGTGATAAATGGGGTGGGCCTGTTTTTTTCTCCATATTGGGGCCCTGGCGGTGAGTTGTGCTTTTGTCTTCGGAGAGATTGTTGCCCATGGAAGGTTCCCACAAAAGTTGCATTTGCTACCTTTGGAGTTATGCTTTTTTGTCTTTGTAGACATTCTTACATCACTGCTAGTTCATGCAGAAGATGGGTTTGCTACCTTCCGGGTTCCTGTGAAATGCCAGGGGGCTCCTCCTGCGGTGCATGCACTTAGCTGACCTGTGTGACTGCGTGCATTGAACACCTGGTCTTGCAAGTTTCTGGGAAAAACTTTGAAGAAAGTACTAGTCTTCACTAGCATAGAACACCTGGTCATTATAGCCCACATTTGGGGCAACTTTCGGTCTTTTTAGAGTCAGCACTAGTGACTCTAAAAGGACCGAAAGTCTTCACTAGAATAGAACACCCGGCGATGGCTGTTCTATTCTAGTGAAGATATTCTAGTGAAGATGGTAATCCGAGTATCCTCTCTCAGAGAAGCTGGACTAGGCTGATAACCTGTTCTGCCTTTTTTCTTTTTCAATCAGCTGACAGCCCAGTACCCTGGCAGTGATAAGAGAACCACCATGTGCTGCCTCCCTATGGTAGTCCCAGCTAGACAGCACATGCGCTGCCTCGGGAAACCGGGATGCCTCTTGCCGCCTTCGATCGATTCGTTGGGAGCACCTTGCGCAGGGGTCGGGACCCACTAGAGCCGTTTTACAACGACTTGCTGGCGTTTTCAATCACGTGCGGCCTTTTGTGACACGTACTGTCTGTGGATGGAGATTGATATCCACTGGCCGCGTGTTTGTGAAACCATGAAGTGTCGTGTCAGGGGTGTCAACGGGCATTCCACTGTTCGTCTGTAGTGGTCTACGTTTCCTGAAACCGTGGCTTGTTAACGGGCACAACTCTAGGATGTACTGGTGGTTTTAACTCACCGAGTCTCTCCCTAAATCGCCTATAACCCACCCACAGTCATGAGAAACATGTTCTCACCTTCGAGGAATTAGATAGGAGAGTCGGTTGTCATAGGCAAATGCCGGCCCACTGGGGGAGAGGAGAAAATAGGGGCTCGCTCGACACTCCTTGGGGTGTCCTCGGGGCCGAAGGAAGTTTCCTTGGGGGTTTAAGGAAATTCCCGCCATCGTTCCACCTGTCCTCGGGGACGTCGCCCGAGGACATTTCCTTCGAGCGATGTCAGACAAGAAAAAAGAAGAGAAGAGAAAAATCAAATGTGTTTGAGGCCTCCAGCCAATAGGGTGCCGCCACGATCCAGATTCTCGGTTGTAACGTCTCTCTACCCATGTGCACACTCCTCTGCGTGAAACGTGGATTCCTTTTGCCCAAGGGACCTCGTGAGGTCCCTTGGCACGAGGTCCCTTGGGCAAAAGGAAGAAATGGCTGGGGAATCCTCGGAGCCCAAGGAATTTCCTTCGGAGGGTTTTCACTTTTTTTTTGCCGACTGCATCCCCGAGGATAGGTGGAATGAACAATTCGTAGGGGACTTTACGCGCCCGAGGAGTGTCGAATGAGCCCCATAGTATGTGACGGAAATGAGAGCCTCACAATATTTACACCCTGCTTGCATGTACAATAACACATGTGCCCATTGGTCACATCAGCAGACAATGTACTGTTCTGGGACACTGGACCGCATTTCCAGCAGGTGCAACTCTCCGCCAATGGATGGAGCCTCCAAACACAGGGAACCGCTTAAAAGGGCTGCTCTTATCACCGTTAAGCGCTCCTCTAGAAAAAAAAAATGAAAAAGGAAGTCGACACAGGATGAAGATTCTGACCGGGCCAGGGCGGGATCCTACTCCGCAGGCGCAAGTCTCCGCCAATAGATGGAGCCTTCAAACACAGGGAACCGCTTAAACTGGTAGTACACGGCCCCAGCCTCGCAGAAATTTTTTGTTGCCACAAGCAAAACTCGGAGGCGCCGCGCAGCGAGGCCCGCCGTTGAACAAAAAAATTGGCGGGCTCCGAAGTTGTGCGGGTTTCATGCTGACACCCGCGGGTCGATATGTGGTGTACTGGTGGTTTGAAAGGAACCCGCTTAAAAGGGCTGCTCTTATCACCCCGTTAAGCAGTCCTCTCAAAAAAAGAAAAGAAAAGGAAGTAGAACATAGGATGACGAAAAGAAAAGAAAAGAAAGGGAAGTAGACCGAGGACGAAGATTCTGACGGGGCCAGGGCGGGATCCTACTCTACAGAGACTGGTAGATAGCTTGCTCGGTAGATCCTGTTCTTGTAAAAAGTGAAAAAAGGGTTAGGAGGTTGTTCTCAAGTTTCTTACTCTCTCAAATGCGTCTGGTGAATCCTTCAGATCCCCCCCCGGGCATTTGAGACATTCTGTATAATTTGCGAAAGGGATGCGGGGCCCGGTCTCTGGTGAATAGCTCAGAAGAAGTCAGACCGAGGCCCGGTGTTCGAGTCATTCTGCATGATGTCCATAATTTCCAAAAAGGGATGCTGGGCCCGCTTCCTGGTGCTTTGGAGCAATGTCCCTGAAAGTTGGGGTATTTTGTCAGGTACCCCTAAAACACAGGGGTATGGCGAAAAGTCCACCTGACAAACGTGGAAGTTTTTTGAAATACCCCATTCACAAACTGGACCTGGCATCTCTTGCATATGCCCCTACAGGGCCCTGTACAGCAACTCTAGATGCCCCTGTACTTCTGGGTGTTGGACCCATGTTGGAAAATCTAATGGCTAAAGAAGTGCGGAAGCCCTGAGCTCCATGGCCAGGCCTATATCAGAAAGCTGCCCATGGGCAGGGAAGAGGGGCATATGCAGAAGGTGCCATACCTGCTACAGCAGGTGGGCGATACCGGCCAGGGGTCAGCCGCTAGCATCAGGACAGAGCTTCTTCGATGGGCCAGTCACTGTGCCTCCCCTCCGGTCCCCTCCCCCCATGAACATCAGCAGTCTCTGCTCAATGCCACTCGGGGGGACCAACGTGCTATCTCTAGGTGGCGGGCGCCAAGCTTGCCCAGGAAGGTACATGAGGCCAATGGGGATTGAACCCAAGACCTCCTGAATGCCACTTGCATGCTTTACCAACTGAGATAGGCCGCTGGATACGCAAGGATATGTATTATGTAGACTAAGGGCATACTCACACTACGGTGACTACGCCCTCAAAATTGCAAAACTGGTGGCCAGATCAAGTCCTTGTAAAAGGAGTCGCCGATCTCGCCGCTGGTTTTGCGATTTTGAGGACCTAGTGTGAGTATACGTGTGAGAATGTCAACGGTCGCATCCACCACATGGAAAACTGAATCCCCGGCGCTAGGGGTTAGGGGCAGGGAAGACTGGGTAATATATATTGCTAAAAGTAGGCTGCTGGTGGATGAATAGGGGAGGGAGTTCATCCCATCAGCTGAGCTGTAAATGCTGTCGGTCCTGTTCAGCTGGTCTTTTTTTTAAAGCAGGCTGCCTTCTTCTCATGTGGGGGACAGCTGCATTTACTATGCTATTTTTTTTCTCTCGATATTTTTCCGTCTCACACTACCTACCTTGGGCTGTGTACTTGAACTGGTCTACCCACCTTCCGGACCTGTAATGGGACGGCAACCCAACTAGCAAGGAACCCAGCTCCATGTTTCCAAGGCCAACTGCAGGGTTTAGGGTCAATGACTACGTACTCCCTGCCCACAGCGGCGGATGGAAGCTTAAATGCACTATCCAGCGCAAAGCTATCCTAAGGTTATGGGTCTACGCCTACCTATCTCTGCTCTGTGCTTGGAGCAGTACCCAAGCTCCTAACACCCGGCGCGGGCTGGAAAGAACCAATTACTTCCACAACCAGCAGGTGATGCTGCCCACTAATAGATGGAGCCTGTCCCTGGGTGCTAGCGACGCCTGCTCTTATCAGCACCGCTAGCACAGCAGGGGATTGTTAAAAAAAAAAAAAAAAAGAAGGTCCAAGTCGGCAATCTCTGGTGGTGAACCCGAAGCAAAGCCCCAGGAGGTCACGGGGATAGAAAGGACAATGTCGGGTATCGAACCCATGACCTCCTGAGTGCCACTTACGTGCTCAGCCATCTGAGCCAGCCCGCTTGGGCTCAGGTGTTCTTCTTTATTGAGATGGAACACAGTACCG